ACAAGGCTTCGTGTTGAGGGTCAAGCAGTGGTCTGAGGTGCTGGCACACCCAGCCTGGTTTTTATTACAGTGTTTCAAATACAGGACCACCCACAGGGAGGGATAAAACAACCAATCATATCACAGTTACATCCCACATATTCTCTCCCCTTATCCTGAGAGGAAACTCAATTATACAAACAGTTAAAACATACTTTCTACCCAACTTTCATAACTCCAAAACCATACATCACATTCACATAAAATTACATATTCACAATCAATTCATTCAGGGGAACAACATATTCAAAAATGGCACAAATCAGACAAGGGGTTCAAAAGTTAGTAAAAAGTCCTTTGTGACTAAATGAAGCATGACTTTCTGGCCCAAACCAGTTTCAGAGTCTTCTATCCTGGAGATAAGTAATTCAATTATCTCCCTTGTGATAGCATTACTAAGACTCCATAAGCACATGGTTGCAAAAGACACAAAACACTTTAAAATACATAAAGTCACATTTATACATATAAAACACAAGACATTTCACATATCTCCCCAGAGAAAGTTTCAGGTCTGAGCCGCCATTACAAGTGAATGCTTTCAGACCACTACCTAATACAAAGTGACCGCCATGGAGCCAAAGTCTTTACAGTCAGTTTCATACGAATGGGCTCCATGGGATTCCTATCTGGGGTGTAACACATTCAAACAAATCTACCAAACCCCAGGCAGAAAAGCACGAATGAAGCTTTTCTGCAGGCAAAAAATAAAGTCTTTTAAAAGGGGGGCCATAGTCCAAAGGCAGCAGGCGAGCAACCAGGCTTCTCCAATGCAATGTGGCGAGATTGGTCTCGTCACACAGCCGCTATCAAAAGATCATCCACGTATTGAAGCAATACACATTCTCCTGGGATGGACTTGAAATCTTGCAAATCCTGGCTTAATACAGATCCAAATAGGGTAGGTGAATTCTTGAACCCTCTGGTCATCTGATGCTTTGAACCTGTAACAGCATCTTCCCATTGGAAAGCAAATATACACTGACTCTCAGCAGCAATCCGAAGGCAAAAGAAAGAATCCTTAAGGTCTAGAACTGTGAAGTAGGTTGCCCCACCTGGTATCAAAGCAAGCAGATTATTAGGGTTGGGTACAACTGGGTGTATATTGACTACTGCATCATTAACTGCTCTCAAATCTTGTACAGGACAATATTCATCTGATCCTGGTTTCTGAACAAGTAATAATGGCGTGTTCCAGGGATAAGTACAGAATTTTAGGATGCCATATCTTACGAACTTATCCAAGTAGGTCTGTATGTTTTTCTTAGCCTTTTGAGGTATATGATACTGACGTAGACTCACAGGATAGGCCCCAAGCTTTAGTTCAATATGTGTAGGTGGAATATTACGAGCAAGCCCAGGTGGATTATTCTCTGCCCATACTCCTGGAATGTCAAATAAAGGTTCGTCACTCTTAGGGTTTACACTTGTCATTATGGAGTAGAAGCGCCATTCTTCTTCCCTTGGCACTGATACCGCCATTATACCTGGTAATCCATTAAACCTCAGAGACGTTGATGCATTGGGTAGAAAAGTTTTTCCTGAAGGCGGAGCCACCAGTTTAGTCACCATGGAATGTTCAGCACCAGCGTCAATCATGAAAGAACTTCTCTTTCCCCCTATTTCTACATCGACCATAGGCTCCGCTCGGCCAAGGGGGATGGAGCCCGGTATCAATAGTCTTCCATGATAGTCTCAGCCAGACCCACAAAATCTCTATCCTCTCTATCTTTTGGTCTCTGAGTAGGTGGATAATATCTATCTCCTTGAACACTCCCTCTACTATTCCCACCGTTCCCTCCAAAACTTCCTCTTCCTCTATAACTACCACTATAACCTCCCCGTACTCTTCTCTCTCCTTGTCTATTATTTTCATAATGCTCTTTCTGTGGACACTCATTCTTCCAATGTCCTTCCTCTCTACAATACACACATTGATTCCTACTTAAAGGTCCCTTACTCAGCCTATTCTCGACTCCTTTATTCACCTCCCTTCCCTGTCTTTCTACACTTGTGATAGCTACCGTTAGCATATCTGCCTTCTTCCTCATTTTACGTTCTTCCTCCTGCTTTATCTCAGTTTCCCTATTCATATATACTTTATTTGCAATCTCCATTAGCTGTGATATAGACATCCCTACAAATCCCTCTAACTTTTGCAATTTTCTTTTAATATCACCTTGGGCCTGGCTGACAAATACTGAGTTAATCATTCGAGAATTCTCATGGGGCCTCTGGATTAAGAGGAGGATACAATATATAGGACTCCAATAATCTTTCATAAACCTTTTGCAACACCTCAGCCGTCTTTGACATATTGATTTCCTTCTTACCTCGTGCCTTCATGCCAGCAATAATGGCTTCCCGATAAGCTCTTAATTGGGGCATGTCAGCACCATTCACATTCCAATTTGGGTCAACATTTGGATAATGGGCTGCAGCCCATGCAGCTGGATTGGCCTGATTTTGAGTACGGGCCGTTTCCTCAAGCGCTTTAATAGCCGCTTGATTAATCCGGGTCCTTTCCTCACAATTAAATAAAGTTAATAATAACTGCTGGCAATCGGCCCAGGTGGGATTGTGTGTTTGTATAATAGAGGTAACCAAATCTGTCATGACTTGAGGTTTGTCGGTATACGAAGAGTTATGAGTCTTCCAATTGAATAGATCAGTTGTGGTGAAGGAGACATAGACAAACACTGGATCTGCCCGTTGTATTTTGCCTTTTTGGGCTCAACGTGTGTTGGGGCCGGTGTAAGTCGGAGGGGCATTTGGTAATGTTGGGGTTGAAGGGTACCAGTCATCTGTCGGGTTAATATAGGACTTCGGCAAGGCGAGTCCTGGCCACCATGAGGCGACATTGCTCCTTGTGGCATACCTTAATCCATTTAGGCAATCTGTTTCCAACAATCAATAAACGGAAACTGATCATAGAATTCAGGCCTGCTAGATACAGCCGCGTGCACACATTGTACTAGAGTTAGATCAAGACTACCACTTGGAGGCCATGCGGTCACCAAGATAGGCCACTCTCTACTACATAATGTAGTCAAACGCTTTGGGGATAATTTCACCCCAAAATCACAAACTTTATATACCTTTGCAAAGTTGTTCAACATACACGACAAGGGATCAACAATCTTTGAGTCAGACGCACCCATACTGGCAACGGAGCGTCTAATACAAAGAAACACAATACCCCAAACACACTTCCAACGATCACACTTGTTTCCCTGGCAACAGCACCACGTGGCACAGTTGCTAGGCCAAACACACACACACGAAAACAAGCACAGAATTCTTGTACATACAGTGTTATCACGACGTCTCACTCACAAAGATTTACCAAACACTAGATACTTATCTCTGTAACTATAAATCAAACCCTACAATTATCCACATTATAAATCAACTTTTAACTAACCGACTATATCACATTCTAGTAACCTCATCTTTACAATCAGTGGTTATGGTACGGTTAGCAAGTGGCTATTATACAGTTTTAAAGTCACAGATCAGTTAGTAACAGTTATGGTGTTACACATATAACATAAGACAACAGTTTTTAGTAATTTTTTACACAACGTCAGTAGTTATAGTACATGTTAATGGTTATAATACCATGCGCTATTATACAGTATACACACAATTTCCACTCCCACTAGATGGCAGAGCTCAAGCTTTCTAGCAGGACATACAATTCACCAACTACAGTATATTTAACAACATTTACAATAATCCCAACTATTCTAATTGGCCAGCACCTCGAGAACTATCGAACTAGTTAAACCAGGATTCGGTTAGTCTACGGTGCCCAAGCACCACATATAGCGAACTAGTGGGCGGAATTTACAACAGTACCATTTAGTCTATCTACTCTATCAACAGTCTAGTGGCTGAATTTACAACAGGGCACACTTAGCCAAGATGGAGGTGGAGAACTAGAAGACGGCATGTACACCAGAATCTGCTTAGTCTCGCTGGCCTCCCCGACCTAGCGACCGAAATTTACACCTAGACACGCTAGGCAAGACAGGACACCGGTGTCCGGCATAAACTATTTACACCAAGATTTAGCCTGACCCAAACCACCTATATTAGACGGGCTGACTACAAAGCATCTAATTTCCAGATAAGCGGTGCACCTTCGCTTCTTCCCTCCAGAGGGAGGGGGCAATCCAATAACTGGTTTCAAATATAAAACCCCTTGTGGGCCTACCGCTCTAACGGTTCAGTCTTACCTCTTCGTTCCTGAACCTGGGCTCACACTCATCGACGGGGCACACCTGTACTTACTACGTAAAGGCCGATGATCTCCTGGGTGAAGCAACCCAGTAGCGCCGAGATGAAGGGATGTCCACACAGAAGTTCAGGGGTGCTGCCGTAGAGAACGTTGGTAAAAAGTTTACCGTCTCAAATCTCTGCGCCAGCTTCCGTGCAATAAGGTTCCCGGGCCCAATGCACCAAAGATGTAATCAAGTAAACTTGCAGAAGCCAGACACAAAGAGATGGATGCAGGTTTTCAGGAAGTAAGAGGTCTTTATTAACATACCAATCGGGTCTCAGATGAACTAACGTTCCAAAACAGGTCTGAGGGCCGAACACATGGAGTACATGCTTTTTATAGAACTATAACTCCTCCCATTAATAGCTCCACCTGCACATACCCTTAACCAATCAGTGGACAGGATTTGGATTTCCTTATATGGGCAGACCACATGGATCATCCGAAACAAAGAAGAAAGGAATGTGATTTCAGTTCCTGCATTCCCGCACATGCTCAGTACATTGATGACAGTATCTTAGCTACGTGTAACTAATTAACTGATACATCATACACATATGCCACATTTACATTTCACCGAAATTCCATGACAATACTATCTAGGGTTGACATCTGGATAATATTTTAAGAGCAGACAAGATGGGACAAGATCTGAAAATCTGGAATGTCCTGCCAAAATTGGGATGGTTGGAAAGCATGTAAAAGCAATGACACACTAATATACACATGAAGGCAAAGTATATACAAACGCTTTCCGAGAGTATACATTACACACAATAACACACTGGTACACACAAACAAAACAATAAGACATATGCAGTGAGACATATTATAAACACACACACACTCTCTCTCTCCCTCCTCCGCCCCTTCCCCCACCCCCCATTATTTTTGCTAAACAGCACAATTTGTGTATAGTGTGGGTTTTTGAGAATCCTTATTGCGTAGTGTAAAAAAAACAATTTTCTCCATAAACACTGCAGAGCAGAAAGCCATCACATCCATGTCTCAGCCTTGCTCCTGCCTTTTAATCTCCATGCTAAGGAGAGGGATCTCCCTTGCTTGCCTTTTTTTTTTTCCCCCTAAACTCAAAACAATAACATGTGGTCGGCGCCACGTGATTACTTCCTCTGTCATTTGTCAGCCAATCGAGTGATACTTGGAGACTGCATTGGATGTGTCTCCGCTCTTAGCCAATCAGAGGGCTCGGACGAGAGGAGGGGCGGTAACTTCTGACGACCCTGTTGGCACTGGGGGGAGAACAGACACTTCCGGCAACAAGAATCGAGCCGTCTAATTCTGTATGCAGCTCTGTAACACACAGGTAATGGGGCAGGGAGCAAAGTGCCCCACACTCACACTGTAGCCGAGGGAGGGCAGAGAGACGGTGTATGGTTATATATAGTGTGTGAATTGTAGGGATTTCCTGAACATAATGGTTGAGAATTAATGCATAGCTGACTTGAGAATTTTAAAATTCCAACCTTTTTTAAAATTCCAATCTTTTTAAAATTCCAACCTAGAAATTTTTTTATTTAATTTTGGATTCCCTAAAATTCAAACTTTAGAGACAAATAATGTACAGAAAGATAGTGTGTGTTTATTGCCAGGGTATTTATAAACTTGTCTGTCACTTCTGGGGTCTTTGCAAAGACTCTAAGATGTCATGTCCACTTACACTGTGACCCACCTCAGAGAAAAGGGAGATATATAGTGACTACTACAACTACTGCAACAACTCACTCGCGAGGTGCAGGGGCCATTTCTTCTTAAATTTTATCTCCAAGCAGATTCACAAGGCTAGACCTGCTGTCACTGTTGCCTTCTGGCACATGCACAAACCAGGAAGAACCAAAAATATCTTTATTAGATTTAGGTTATTAGAAATTAGAACACTAGTACTACCGATTTCTGGTTTAATCCAATTGTACAGCGCTGCAGAATTGATTGGCGCTTTTATAAATAATAATAATAATAATAATAACAACCCCTTAAGGTACTACAGTGACTAGGCACCATACCAGCCACTGAGATATGATATATAGTATTTTGGACATTACTTTTATTTTAGACCAATACATTCGTTCAAGGGATGGTTCATATGCTACTGCTTTATTGGGATATTATTTTAGTAATCAAATATTGCCTTTGTTTTCCTTATTAATTTGAGGTGGCAAAGTATTGTGTCTTGCACCAGCATTAAATTGTGTTAGAATTGCCTTTGTGAATCCTCTATCCACTTTCTGGATGAAATATATACTTCAAGCAGGAGCTTCGTCATATAATGCAATATGACCTTTAAACAGTGTTCGAGATTAAACTGTATGAATAGTTGTGTCATTTGCTACCTTTGCACAGTAACCAGCCTTCAGCCATATAAGGAATGAAGTTGAAAGACATTCTGACATAAATACGCTTTGCGATCATGGTAACCCATTAAATTATGGTATGCTGCCAACATTTGCTACCATTTAATACAAAAGCTTCTCTCATGTATTGACAAATATTTCAACCTAGTCAACAAAGTATTGCTGTTTATTTAGAGATCTGAAACTCCAAGTAGTTTTGTATACCTTGCCTAAAACTAGTTAATAAGCAGAAGAAGAAAACATATATCAAGTAAATAACCATTTAAAGGACTTGTAATACACATTATACAAAAATGTATTCCTGACACTTTAATGTATAACTATTTAGGTCCTCTGTCCCCCATAGATCGCAGTAAAAAGGTGTTTAAACTCACCTTTTTCCCCCCATGATGCACCAGTGTTGCCGTTGCCAGCTCAGCTTCCATGGCTGAGATCATCAAACTTGACTATTGCACATGCTTGGTAAAACTCGGCACTGCACCAATCAGCATCTCCTCATAAAGATGCATTGAATCAATGCACCTCTATAGGGAACATTCAGCACCTCCATACAGACACTGAACACCAGTTCTGCGCACTGTGTAGGACTGGACTAGGAAGCACCTCTAGTGGCTGTAAGAGTGACTGTCACTAGAGGTGTTCCATAGGCAGCAATGTAAACACTGCCTTTTCTCTGAAAAGACGGTGTTTACATTAAAAAGCCTGCAGAGACATGCTATAGACACAAGAACCACCACTTTTAGCTGTAGTGGTTCTGGTGACTATATTGTCCCTTATTACATTTTGACTACTTTGTTCCGCGTTCAGTTCTGCATTTACACAATTAAAATATATTACAATTCTTTTGTTTTTGTTTTAGAAGTAGTCTGCAAAGTGTCAAAGTACTTCTTTGTGTATATAGACAGATTTGTGTACCCCTAACTAAGAATGCTTTGCAAGTAGTCTGCGCATTTTCTGGTATTCTTGCATTCTATGCCAAGTTAAACCTTGACATAAGGGAGCAGCAGAAGATAGAATACTTTTTTGATGTAAAAACTGTGGCAAACATAGCCACTTGGACACTATAAAGAGACTGTGCCTTTAAGGGTTACCTGTATGGTTGTGGGATATGTGCTTAACTATGTAGAATGTATGCTGGTTGTAATTAACGTGTGTTTGCTGTATGGGCTATCTGCCGAATGCAGATAGCTGTATGTATTGTATTTTCTTTCGTTTCACGAACGGCACTTTGGCGGGCCTTTCGTGAAACGAAAATACCCCCATGTAGTAGCCCACACACTTAGAGGCGTGATTGTGGCAAACATAGCCACTTGGACACTATAAAGAGACTGTGCCTTTAAGGGTTGCCTGTATGGTTGTGGGATATGTGCTTAACTATGTAGAATGTATGCTGGTTGTAATTAACGTGTGTTTGCTGTATGGGCTATCTGCCGAATGCAGATAGCTGTATGTATTGTATTTTCTTTCGTTTCACGAACTGCACTCTTGCGGGCCATTCGTGAACCAAAAATACCCCCATGTAGTAGCCCACACACTTAGAGGCGTGTGGCACTTGGTAATTAGAGGCTCTCCTAGGTGGCCGCCGTTCGACTACCGACCATGCGGCGGTCGGCCATCTTGGATCCTTTGTTCCCTCAGCGGTATTTGGTCGTCGAGCACATGGTACTAAAAACGGCTACTCTATGGCGCGAACACCACTGAGCTTCCAGGCCGTTCGGGAGGTCTGGGCTGTTCGGTATTTGGTTCCCTGGAAGGCAATCGGTATTTTGAACCTGTATTTTAATGAATGTGTTTTTCGTGCGGCGTTCGGTTGGTTTAGCTGGGATCTGAGCGGTAATCTCACGAATGATGCGCTCAGACCCCAGCTATCTACCGAACGTCCATTCGTTTAAATGAACTGCATATTCGAAAAGTTATGGATTTTAATGTAAATTGTCGGTTCTGCTGCACGGAGGGATAATCCACTTAACGGTACATTCCTGTGGGAGGATCTCTCTCGTGCAGCAGTGCCCGATGGGAGAAATGTCTTGTACAGTAAGTCCCCCATGTAGTCCCCTCTGGGAATGCCCCTGGGAGGGGACTCAGGAAACCCCTTTCATGGGGACTTGTATAAATTGTGGAGCTGAAAATAAAGACCTCAGTTGACTCTCAGAACTGTGTTTCGTCCGGTTACTGGGAGGTTTGGGATATTGCCTTGCTTTTTCCAGTGCTTGACTGTGGATTACTTCCTGAACCAGCGGAATTCGTGGATTTAATATTGGCGTTCCGCTACAATTGGTGGCAAGCGACAGGATCCAACTCTACAGCCGAAACAGCGCATTCGAATGAAAGGAACAACCGAACGGAAAAAGGGAATGGCAATTCGTATGCAGCAAACAGACGAAAGAGATCAGTGAATGGGGACTGATTACACGACTTTGAAAAGGCAGACGCTAAAGGAACTGCTGGAGGCTAGAGGGAAAAACGCTAGCAATAAATCCAAGGCAGTACTAATTGCAGAACTAATGGAGGGCGACCGAGCACACAGCAGCACACCCCCACCAGCCAGGGAGGAAACTCCATATCAGAGGAAACTAAGAACCCGGCTGGAATTTGTACCTCAGTCAGTACCCCTGGACATCTTGACCGTCTTGATGGCAGACGTACAGGAGTACATTATGGCTCAACAGCACCAGGGGGCACCGTCCAGGCCAGAATCCATCGCTACTTCATTCTGCGCTCCGGTGAAACAGAAGATACCGTACCAGGCGTTTAAAGCATTCTGTGAGGAGAAGGATGAAATTGACGGGTATCTGCAGGATTTCGAGCGGCTATGTGACCTGCACGACCTGGAGCAGGCTGTGTGGGTGCCCCTGCTAGCAGGAAATTTGGCAGGGCGGGCAGCAGAGGCCTATCGTGCTGTCCCCAGGGAGGACAGCAAGGACTATTTTAAAGTCAAACGGGCAATCCTGGAGAGATATGCCATCACACCGGAGGCATATAGGCGCAAATTTCGGGGATTGCGAAAGCCTGAAAAAGATTCCCACGCTGAGTGGGCACATAAGCTAGACCAAGCTTCGCAAGGGTGGATTCAGGCAAGCCAAGCCACCACCATGGAGGAACTGGGTTAACTAATTTTATTGGAGCAGTTCTTTAATGGACTCTTACCAGAGGCACAAGAATGGGTAAGGGACAGAAAACCCCTCACCCTAACTGAAGCCGCCCGGTTGGCGGATCAACACTTCGATGCCAGGGGGCATCATGGGCCCAACAACAAGGGCCCCCTGAGACCACCTATACAGCACCACCCGACCACCTCCGCACCAGCCAACTCCACTCCGTTCCGGCCAGCACAAGGGAACCCCCCACCACCATCCCGCTACAATGGCAGGGCAAACATCCAATGCCATACCTGCCGTCAGTGGAGGGTGCACCCAGAATCGGAGTAGACAGGCGTGGAACCAAGTGCGGCAGAATTCCACCTCAAGGGCAGCAGCGCATTATTACCACGCAGAACCGGACACCCCCGAGCTGATGAGCCTGCAGACTGAGGAACCTCTGGGTGTTTTGTATGAGGTGATGTCTGTGCAAGCCACGGACAACAGGCAGCATCACCGTCAAGTTGTGTTTGTGGGGGGGAAAGAAGTACAGACATCTGTAATTAATAATTTTCACCAGGAAACCTTCACAAGACACCCATTTGTTGCAAAAACACGTTCTGCAGTTTGTTAAAATCAATATTCCAAATTATTAAAGGACCACTATAGTGCCAGGAAAACATACTCGTTTTCCTGGCACTATAGTGCCCTGAGGGTGCCCCCACCCTCAGGGACCCCCTCCCACCCGGCTCTGGAAAGGGGAAAGGGGTAATAACTTACCTTTTTCCAGCGCTGGGCGGAGAGCTCTCCTCCTCCTCTCCGCCTCCGTTACGCCCCGCCGGCTGAATGCGCACGCGCAGCAAGAGCTGCGCGCGCATTCAGCCTGTCGCATAGGAAAGCATTATCAATGCTTTCCTATGGACGCTGGCATGCTCTCACTGTGATTTTCACAGTGAGAAGCACGCAAGCGCCTCTAGTGGCTGTCAATGAGACAGCCACTAGAGGATTAGGGGGAAGGCTTAACCCATTCATAATTATAGCAGTTTCTCTGAAACTGCTATAATTATGAAAAAATGGGTTAACCCTAGAAGGACCTAGCACCCAGACCACTTCATTAAGCTGAAGTGGTCTGGGTGCCTAGAGTGGTCCTTTAAGGAATATGTCAATTTGTTAAAAAAAAAAAAAAACTTTTTTATATAATAAAATTATTACTGAAAAAAAAATGTATACTTGTTCTACCTACACTATCTGCAAAAAAGAGTGACAAAAGTGGCAACTAAGTGTTTTTACTTTTCTTTCCATGTGTCCAAAAGTAATCTAGACATCATTATGCATATCATTCAGTTACAGTGTCAGACACTGGTTTATTCACTCGACATTCGATTAAGTGATTGCAATATTCAAGCTAATGTTGTAGAATTATTAGGCCTCTATAAATTTGTAAGGCCCCTTTAAATCCTCTTGCTATACCTCTAAGAGGCCCCCATAGTTTTACAAGGAAGCTTTGTCTATAGAACATAGAATTTGCATGTCAGCAAGAAATAGCTTTGATAAAATGTGTATTTACTAAAATCCTTGAAACTTAACCTTGAGAAACTAACAAGTGCCAGCTACGCTCCAAATGGATAGCTGCCAAAAGGCCCCTCCCGTCGAGTGAGCTCCTCATTTTAACAAAATGGCGCTAAGACCTGTAGGAGTTAAGAAATTACGTAGATAGTGACCTAAGAATGGGGAGGGCATTTTACTAACATCTTAGCACCTAAGCCAATTAACAATGTCTATTTGTCTATATCTTGATTTTCTTCAATGATGTAATAATGCCTTTATAAGGGTCTGCGCACCCATTTTTCTGTCAGAAGCCATTAAACTTCTCTGAAGTTCTTTCATTACCCTGAACCTTGTGTCTCAGTGTGAATTTACTTCTGCGTGCACGCAACTTTATTATCTTTAATTTGGACAGGAACAGATAGTCATTCAAACTAATTGGTTTGCAGTAAATTATATACGACAAATTGGCGCTTCCAACGTGGGGCTCTGGGCTATGTCCAGTCTGGGCAGCTGTCCAAGAAGACGCTGGGGGGGCTGAATCCTGGGGGAAGGAAAAGAGCCTGATCACCTCTGAATACACGGTAGAGATTGCTGCAGCACCTAGCCGGTATGTTCCTGCCCCTGTGATTGACCTGCCCCAGTGTCTGTGACTGCTGCCGAGAGGACATCAAAGTCAGGTAATAACTTGCCCAGAGTCTTTGTATTGTTAATGATACCTAGTTTACCTGCATGTTGACTATCTGTTGCCTGGGTGTGTTTGTATTGGTATGTGTTTAACTTAGTACCCGGGGAGTGTAAGTGCCTGTTTAACTCCTTTTAGGTACCACATGCCTGTGGTAGTAAGGAAAAAGGGGGGTGGACCTGTGGAAGTTTTCCTGGGGGTCCTCTATTGCCTGTTTAACTCTTTTAGGAGCCACGTGGCTGTGGCTGTAAGGAAAAAGAGTAGGGGGAATCTGTGGAGGATGATGTAGACTCATTGCTTCCTGGGGGTTCCCCAGAGTGTCATTTTGACCGCTTAGCTTCTTGGTAAAATTCCAGCCTCGAGCGCTGAGGCAGGTAAGATTCCAATTCTTTAGGCTATACAGGATTCGGGTTGGAAGCTGTTGCTGTTTCCTGTGGCTGCTGGTAGTGAGACTTGCGGGTGGGTCCGCAACAGGGACACTACGAGGTTGAGGGAGGTGGCTTTTGGCCACACGAGTAAAGGCAAGGGATAAAACTGTTGAACTTATTTGAACTGTGATGCATGCACTGTATTTACACTGAAATGTTATTGTCTTAATTGTCTGTCACACAGATTCCTGTGTTTACTTTTATCTTACTCACTGTACTACTTACACTTTCCCCTCCTAGTTCTCTTTCTCTGTTGAGAGAAGTGATTGGTCACACACTTCTCGCCACGCTCCAATCCGCGGCTACCACGGGTAGGCGGAATCAGTGACTAGTCTACGTTTTGGGAAGACGTACTTAAAGAGCTTGCTCTTAAAGTAGCAGTCGAGCACGGTAGACGTTCTGTTCCTTTCTCTCTCTATATCTGGGACGCCTTGTATAGGGAGGATGGGACAGAAGTTAGATAAACCCAGTAAGGGTTGGTTAGCATGTGATCTAGTGGAAGACAGAGAAGGAGAAGAGATGGTTAAGAAAGTGAGGAAGATTGCTAAAGTATGTGGAATTACCGTACCTCTGTGCGGCAGATTGTAGCCAGAGAGCTGGCGTAAGTTACTGACAGAGAAGAAAGAGAAGCTGTCGGACCAAGATTTGGTTTGTACAGCAGAAGCCTGATACCGAGTAGCAAGAGCTATTCAGCAAAAGGGATAGGTTGAGGAAGATATTGATCACAAAGGTTTAAGTTTGTTTGTGTATTATAATAATTGTGTTACTGGATGCTGATGGATCCCTATTCTCCCCCCCCCATCAGTCCTACAGATCTCGTCACCCTCATCCTCTCTCTGCAGCTCCCTGCACCTCCAGTCCGTTTCTCCCGTCAAAGATTTCTGGTTTCCAAACGTATAAGTCTCTGTCCTTCTGTCTTGTTACTTTACAGCACTCACATGGTTAATCTTCATGCCTGCAGTCTCTCCCTTTTTTGCACTGTCTAACTTTCTCCCCCCCTCTCCTCCCCGCTTGCCTGCATTTCTACTGATAAGAATTAGAGACAGGATTTTTGCTGGAAAATATTCTAATTGTGTAGTATTGTGTACATTGTTCCATACACAGACGTTGTCAGGCAGGTTATGGAGCTATAATTGTGTAATAATATTATTATTGTTGCCATTTAGATGGCGTCAACAGATTCCGTAGTGCTATATATTTATAAATTATGTTTTGAGTATAAGGTACTGAGGATTGTGGGAGTGACGGGCTCACAAGATTGCATTCAGTGTTGAATACGGGATTTAGGAAGGTGTAGCCTGTTAACACTGATAGAGGGAATATGCGATGTTGTTAAGTCAGTATAAGAGGAGGAAAGTGATTAATGGCTAGAGGATGATAAGGGAAATTGGTTGAATTCCGTGAGTTTATTTTGCATCATTTTATTATTTTAAAGTTATTTTAAAGTACATGTTTCTAGAAACAGCTGTATGGGCTGTTAAATGCATAATGTTCTCAACTGTCTTATTCAACCTGCCAGGTCTGTTCATAGTTTAGTATTTCATTTTGCAGAACAGAATGTTGCTTCTCTGACTTATTTTAATAGTTATAATATAGTGTATTGTTGAAAGTGCGTCAGCCACCACCCTAAAGATGGCGCCTAGTACAGACCTATCTACAGTCACGGTTGCTTCTAAAGTGACGTCACTTCCGCCCTTACCATGCCCACACCTCCTGTCTTCCTTTCCCACACATATCATGGACGTCACCCCTCTCACTTCCTCCCTTGCTGTCATTTCCTTCCCCGCCCCTGTCATGGCTGCCTCCATCATGAGGCCTACCCGTATTATGCTCGTCCCATTTAGAGACATGTTGTTTTCCTTACACTCTACATATTATGAACAGAAACATTATAATTACTAAAACAATCATGCCATTTGTTTCCCTGTATCAGCAATTTGTCCGTGATATAAAAAAAAAGAAGGTTGCTAAAATGTAATTTGCAACTGTGGTGTGACCTACATATGAAATCTGTTGGACACGAATATAAGAGCATAACAGCTGATTATCCAGCTTCATCTTGCAATAAGGGAAATAGCCAAATAATGCAAGTTATTTTAAACATTGTATCTTTACTTAATCGAATCTTGCTAGTTACAGATCTTATGTTTACAGTAACATCCTTTACTTTAAATGATGGTTTAGCATTAGAAGGATTAGTGACATGTTTTATTAACCCAGCTACTACTGGTTGTTTATTTTAGTTACAGGGTGGTATAATTGTTATAGTCTATTTAATATAAATGATAGTACCGCAATAGTTAATGTTTTATCCAAAGACATATAGGAACTTCACTTCACTTACTATTAACCATTATTTATAATGATAGACATGTTCAGACTGCAAAAAGCTATGGCTAATGACATAGAAAGGGGTTTGAGTCAGTAACACAGCCCATACAGAGGAGAGCAAACCCGCTGATGCTTAATGCCCCTGCCATGGCAGTGTCTACAGGGAACAAGGGGGGCCACTAGTCACTGTAACTTTACCTATTGAAGGTCACCCTACTACTTTCCTGGTTTCCTGGTTAACACAGGTGCATCCCGCAGTGTTCCTAGAGAACAAGACCTGCCTGACTCATCGTTCCTGCCTGACACCGATGTCTCTTGTGTTGGTGCTGATGTCCTATCCTGCCTCCAAGCATCCATCACCCTCACTGCAGACGGCCAGGTTCAATTGAATACACCTTTGTCACGAAAAGACACTACAGTTCTTTGTTCCCTTCCCATTTTACTGTGGAGATGATCTACCCACAACAGAACAATGCTCAATTAATCTTCTTTACTATGTAGCAGAACAAGGATGTGAAGCTTCACGTCTCAAGCTGCAATTCTGCCAACCTACTGTTATCTTCCTTGGCCATTGTCTGTCTCAGGGAACCAGACATCTCACTCGTGACCGAGTTAGAGCAGTACTGGACATTCCACCTCCAAGGACCTCAAAGTCACTACACGCCTTCCTAGGCCTCATTTCCTATTGCCGAGCATGGATCCCAGAAGCCTCACTCCTTATGCAACCTCTCTATGATGCTCTCAAGTCAGACCCATTTTGCTTGTCCACAGAAGCCCTTGACAACTTCTGTACTCTTAAACATGCTATTGCTTCTGCTCCTGCTCTTGGCCTACCAGACTATACCAAACCCTTCAAATTGTTTGTTTCTGAAAGACAAGGCCATGCAACAGGAGTACTCACTCAGGCCCATGGTCCTGGAGGCCGCCAAAGGCCTATTGGATTTTTCTCCTGCCAACTGGATATTGTGGCCAGAGGACGTCCCTCTTGCCTTCGGGCCGTCTTTGCTGCCAGAGAGCTCATTGAAAGAACTGGAGATCTTGTCCTTGGCCACCCCCTGGTTGTCTTGGCCCCTCATGACATTTCTGCCATAGTCAACCAGGTCCAACTTAAGCATGTTACTCCTGCCAGGCATCTTCGCCTTCAATGTCATCTTTTGTTGCCTGACAACATTACCCTCCAAAGATGTCAAGTTCTCAATCCGTCCACTCTTCTGCCACTCCCTGAGGGGGGTGTATACTACGGATTCATCATGGACGAACTGTATACTATGGATTCATCATGGACGAAACTTATGTTTTTCTTCTCACTGGCACCATCAAGAAGGAAATGCATCCCAACCTATCCTTTCATGATGGACAAGCACTCCTTCATGACGGAGCAGGATATGCCTTCTGTACCATGTGGTACAAATCAAACATCACTCCTGAACCCTGCTATGAAGATGAACTCTATCATCTGGTCGAAGTAAAACTCACTGCACAAGACTTCTACTGTGATTCTGAAGGCAACAGTATGGTCTTGATTCATCTACCTCCGGAACTCAAGCATTTGTACCGTCATTGGGACACTGCCATTCCACATGTCCCTGTGACCAAGTTGAAAACAATATCATGGAATGATCTTGGGCCTATGGCAAAAGCATGGGCCACTATGGACGAATCACAGCTACAGGAAAATGGTGTTGTCAAATATCCAACAACTGACCACCTAAAAGCATGGCCACGTCATTTCCTGGAAAATGAGTTCCAAGATTTAACCATAGTGAATGACTACGACCTAGATACACCTCATGACTGTTTTGAACAGATGAAAATGGAAACAACACATCTACCAACTGTGCATGAAGACCCATTGGTAGATCCCGATCTCACCCTGTTTGTGGACGGCTCAAGATATGCTGATGAAGAAGGAAGATACCATACAGGATATGCCGTAACCACAACAGATGAAATTGTCAAATCATCATCTTTACCATCAACTATGTCTGCACAAGAAGCTGAATTGCAAGCCCTGACCTCAGCATGCAAGATCTCTGAAGGAAAGCGCGCCAATATCTACACGGATTCAAGATATGTACTGGGCGTGGCTCACGACTTCGGATTAATTTGGAAAACAAGAGGATTTCTTACTACCGCCGGTACACCAATCAAGCACGGTTCCGCAATCAAGGAGCTGATGGACGCCCTCCTACTCCCAGAAGAAGTGGCCATTCTGAAGGTAAAGGCACATGGGAAGTTGGACTCAGATGAAGCAAAGGGCAACCATCTAGCTGATCAGGCTGCAAAACAAGCTGCAAGAAAACCACAGGAAGTGGGAAGAAGAGTGTCCGGAAATGAAGAAACTCCCATATTTACTCTGCAGACTCTTCCAACTGACCTGAAAATCCTGCGGGAACAACAGGCTACAGTTGCCCCTGAAGAAATACAGAAGTGGAAACAGAAAGGGGCAGTTCTGAAGGATGGAGTGTACTCCAACAACCTCAATTTCTGCCTCCCTAAGAATTTGTACCCAGCAGTCGTACAATGGGCACACGGACCTGCACATTTATCAAAGGATCTAATGAATGCTCTTGTACAAAATACTACCTCACTGTCCCCATATGAGATTCTATTTGGGACTGCACCTAGGCTAGGTTGCCATTTTCCCCAGCAATTACAACTTCATACTGATGTTTTAGTAAACTCGCAAATGCTTTGAACAAAATCCATGCCCAAGTTTTCTCTTCAATTCCAGATCCTGATTCTGACACAGGCAACCACAGTCTGCTCCCCGGTGACTGGGTTCTGGTCAAGAAATTTGTGCGAAAACATACCCTGGAACCAAGATTTGACGGACCGTTCCAAGTTCTCCTGATCTCCCCTACCTCTGTCAAATTGGCCGGAAGGCCTAACTGGATCCACGCTTCCCATTGCAAGAAGACACCTGCCCCAGAGGAAGCTAATTCTATGCAACCATGTGCCTCTGGTACATTATCTCCTTAGTTGGCCTCCTTAAAGCCCAGCAGGTGGCCATCACCAAAGATGCTAGTGGGTACACTTTCTGGTATAATTCATCATGTACCCATGTGGCTACATTCACTTTTGATTACTGTGATATTGTAGAATGCCCATTCCCTAAGTCACAGATTCAAGCCATTTATAAAGATATACCACAAGCAAAAGACCCTTACGTTTGTGTAGTAGATGAACAATGGGGTTATGACTGTAACTACTGGGGGGCTGCGGGATGGAATACTGGGCCTGCCTGGGGTTATAAACCCAAAAGTGCTTTATCTAAGATAGACAATCAGGGTAGATCCCTCCTTCAAAGAATGACTTTAAGAAAGCCTGGAGGAAGTACCCCTATGAAATTAATGTTAAATATTGAACATCCTGGCCCCGAGGATGCAGACCGATATGTAATGGGAATGTATTGGAAGAAAGGTTCCTACAACAAATTAGGTCATTTCTACCTCAGAGATATGTCCCACTCTCCAGAGTGGCAAGGGGCTGATCATATGGTCCCAAATCCGCTAAAACCACATATCCAGTCCTTTAAAGATATGATGGCCATCGCTAACCCCACTTTTGAAGATACCATGGCCGCTGAAACTGGATTCAATGACATTAATCTGTGGTTAGAATGGATGAGGTATAATGCTAACAAACATAATAAAACAGCATGTTATGTATGTGGCGGTGCCCGACCCCACCTTGGCACCGTCCCCCTAACTCTCCCTTTAGAGATAGAAGATTGCTTCTTAAGCCTTTTTGCCTACCAATATGACTTTAATAGGTCCCTCTGCATGGCATGGACGGCAGAATACCCTCTCTTAGTTGAAAATGTTAAGCCACCAGATGGAATCACAGTCTATAGAGGTAATTACACTTGTTATGCCATGTATGACGGGATTGGTAAATTCATGGGTAATTTTTCTAAAGGTTATTGCGCCACTTACAGAACTGTTCCTATACGCCTGTTGCAACACCATACCAGGTCATTGGGGGATATTTACTGGTTATGTGGGGATCTACAGTTAAGATCTAGGCTGGAAACTGAGTGGTGGGGTGAGTGTACCCTGGCCAAAGTTATCATGCCCATTCATATTATTTCTGATAATCATCATGACACATACGACCCTCCACATACATCAGCCAGAGTAAGGCGCGAAACCCCAGTAAAAGGCAGTTTTGACCCCCACATTTACATAGATGCCATTGGGGTGCCTAGGGGGGTACCTAATGAATTTAAAGCTAGAGATGAAGTAGCTGCAGGTTTTGAATCACTTTTTACCATAGTCACTGCCAACAAAAACCTTAATTGGATTAATTATATCTATTACAACCAACAGCGCTTCGTGAACTACACCAGGGATGCCCTCCAGGGCTTGGCCGAGCAATTACAGGCCACATCCCAAATGACCTTCCAGAACAGACTGGCCTTAGACATGATCTTAGCCGAAAAAGGGGAGTCTGTAAAATACTTCCCGACACTATGACTTGTTGCACTTACATTCCAGAAAACACAGGTCCTAATGGTAAAGTCACTCTGGCCATAGCTAAATTAAATAGACTCTCAGAAGAGTTAAAGAGAAACTCTGGAGTTACTGATCCCTGGGAAAAATGGTTTGGTTGGATGACTGGTTGGCAGAGAGCTTTAGTCCAGATTGGTATTGCCTTACTAATTTTTCTTTTTATTCTCGCTCTTCTCATTTGTTGTGTCCTCCCATGCCTAAGGAAATTCCTGCAGAACCTTCACTCATCTGACAATCGATGATCAAGACCTCATCTCACCCTGTATTCCGCTACAAACTCTCCCGTATACTGATGAAGTGCAGAAAGTCTAGGAAGGGACAGTACAGGGACAGCATCCGTCTTTATGGGTAGACTGCCGTACGGAGAAGTAGTGGATAAGCCACTATGGGTTACCAGCGGAGTGAAGAGTGTTCCTGAACCGTACTGACGGATGTGCTGCAGCCCGTTAGGGTCAAGAGAGGGATAGACTTGCACTTTGCATTAACACTAAGTCAGCGGTCATGGGGTTTCTGTGTCTTTGGGCTAATACTTCTTCTGATACTAACAAATAAAGTTTTGTCTTTTAGCAAATAACATTTTAGGGGGGACTGTTGTAGAATTATTAGGCCTCTATAAATTTGTAAGGCCCCTTTAAATCCTCTTGCTATACCTCTAAGAGGCCCCCATAGTTTTACAAGGAAGCTTTGTCTATAGAACATAGAATTTGCATGTCAGCAAGAAATAGCTTTGATAAAATGTGTATTTACTAAAATCCTTGAAACTTAACCTTGAGAAACTAACAAGTGCCAGCTACGCTCCAAATGGATAGCTGCCAAAAGGCCCCTCCCGTCGAGTGAGCTCCTCATTTTAACAAAATGGCGCTAAGACCTTTAGGAGTTAAGAAATTACGTACATAGTGACCTAAGAATGGGGAGGGCATTTTACTAACATCTTAGCACCTAAGCCAATTAACAATGTCTATTTGTCTATATCTTGATTTTCTTCAATGATGTAATAATGCCTTTATAAAGGTCTGCGCACCCATTTTTCTGTCAGAAGCCATTAAACTTCTCTGAAGTTCTTTCATTACCCTGAACCTTGTGTCTCAGTGTGAATTTACTTCTGCGTGCACGCAACTTTATTATCTTTAATTTGGACAGGAACAGATAGTCATTCAAACTAATTGGTTTGCAGTAAATTATATACGACACTAACATAGTCAAGCTGTGATGATAACGGTGTTGGAGAAATTTTCCCAATCAGCACTTTGTCCCTAAATTTTGCAATTTGATTTTCATTTAAATACAATTTGGGGTTCAGTGAATAAACCCCTCTGTGGTGTAAAGTAGTCATAGTATGGTTACATAATTTAGCTACTGGTTTAGGCTTCCAGCTGCTTGCTGAGTTGATTGTGTTAAATGGGTTTCCTGTCTCTATAATGCTATGTGTATTATTTCCACAGGTGAGTCATGCCGTTTCTGGGTCAGGACTGGCGTTCTCCAGGTTGGAGCTGGATCAAAACAGAAGATGGATGGAAAAGGTTTGAGTTTGATGGCGATGATTTTGAAAGAGACAGCAACTTTAACCTTCAGCTGTAAGTATATTTTAACCATTATCACACTGATTTCATCTGAAGGGCTTCAAAAATTATGCCATAGGGCACAGATGTTGGCAGACAAAAGTAAGGACTGTCCTGTATTGTTGATAATTTTTATTGTGATTTGTATATTTCTTGTTTGGGGTTACTGAAACCTGAGTTTGAAATAGTGGCAGATCTAGTTTCTGGCTCAACTACAAGCGTCTGACCGTCCGGTCACAGGCTTCTTAATTTGCTGTTTTACATATTACATATTGAGTTAACTCCACTGAGCTAAACTATGAGAAAGAAACACCTACTGGCTGTCCAACTGATAGTCAGGGAAGTGTAACTGAATTTATTTGTAAAAGTGCTAAAATAGGAAACAGGACACACTACACACAAAAGAAGCAAGATGAAGTGATTCTTGTGTTTTGAGTTTTCCTTTATTATAAAGTGGGGGGCTAAATAATCATTAAAAAGAGCACCCCAAAGTGTGTAATTATTTTATTGATTTTTAATATTTGCTGATGATTTTTATGTGTAGAGTGTGTACTTTATTTTTTTCTTTCTATCATTTATAAAAGTGTTAATTCCAACAGAAATTGTCATTTTTATAGACTAGTGCTGTTAATCAAACAGACAGAGAGGCTTGTTTCTGCCTACTTTATCTCCACTGAGCTAATCACAGTAGAAGGCACTTGGCTAGGGTGCACCTGCACTCATTGGATCAACAGCAAAAAACAAATGTGAGGAAGGCTGAACTTGATGGACACATGTCTCTTTTCTGCCTATGTAACTATGTAACATCCTATGTGGCCTTGTTTGTTTGCATTGGTTATTGTACTGCTAAAACTTCTCAATATCTCTGTGAGTAAAAAGTCACCCAAGCCTCGACCACACAGCTTCTCACTGAGATTCCTAGGGTTCTCAATTCAATCTATTTTCTGTGCCGGGGAAAAAGGGGAGGCCTTGCAGTAGTTGTTTTGTAGTAGAACGATAATAAAAAATCCCAATACACTCCACTAATAGGGAGCGCAAAAGGAAGGGGCACAGTGAGGAAAAGTTAGCTTAAAAAGCACCCTAGCTTTTATTGTGCTCTAATGTTAAAAAGAAAATGGACCAAAAACAGCTCAATTAAAGGTGTAAGCCTAATTGTGTCTAGGGGATAAAGGAAAAAGGTGGAGTCCAACAGTTACTCATACTGCTGTATAGAAAGCTACCTTATGATATCCACCACTGGGCAGGTGGGCAGCCTAGTGATAACTTCACTGGCCACTCCTCAGATGGCTGTTAGAGATCCTTCCTGGGTCATGGCTGCCTAAAATGCATCCAAACATTCGGTATCTCCTCCCTCTGCATGCAGACACTGAACTTTCCTCATAGAGATTCATTGATTCAATTTAACTATATGAGGTGATGCTGATTGGCCACGGCTGTGTTTGAATTGTGCTGGCTCTGCCCCTGATCTGCCTCCTTGTCAGTCTCAGCCAATCCTATGGATAAGCATTGTGATTGGCTCAGACCACCACTTCTGATGATGGCAGTGGGCAGGTAAAAAGCAAGCAGCTTCAGGCTTGAATACAAGTAAGATTTTACTATATTTATGGAGGCAAGAGGGGGCCAGGGGGACTAGATTGTGGTTTTAACTCTATAGAGTCAGGAATACATGTTTGTGTTCCTGACCCTATAGTGCTCCTTTAATTAAAGAACATAACATTTACATTATTAAAACAAGCCTATAAATATATATTTTTGTATTTACGCCGTTGTTTTTGAGTTCTTTGTGATAAGCACTGTATTTTTTTTTCCAGATTAAATGTTGATAACCAAGAAATGTACACAGAAAATTGTGAATATTCAGTCGAAAAAACTCAAAAGGAAGAATACAACAACACTACAAGAACTCAATGTAAGAGTTGAAAATGTGCTTATTAATACTTTAGCAGAGTATGTGCAAATAGATAACATTGTGTAGATTGTGCCATTGTTTGGGTAAATGTAATGGTTATCCCTTTCAATAGTGAGTAATAAAAAAAAATGACAAGCAAAATGCATTTTCTGTGTTCTGGAAAGTGTTGTATACATTTAATTTGTGCATGAATAGCACTTACCGGTAATTAAATGAAAGGCAGCAATGTCTTAGTTGATCATTGTTTAACGAACAGTGAGAAAACAAGTGAGTTACAGAATAATGGAGTTAAAGACCAGAATACCAGATATATGTATTTAATTTATTAAAAGGTGAGAAACAAATTTGGTTATATGTTATTATATTTAATTATATCATTATACAGCATACTGTTACTAACTGATTTTATTTGTTCTGGTGAGTAGAATCTTTATCTTCAGACTTTTTGCAGTAAACACTGTCTTTTCAGGGAAAATGCAGTGTTTACATTACAGCCTAGTGATAACTTCACTGGCCACTCCGCAGATGGCTACTAGAGGTGCTTCCTGGGGCAGTGCTGCACAGTGTGACTGACATTCAGTGTCTCCACCCTCTGCATGCAGACACTGAACTTTCCTCATAGAGATGCGTTGATTCAATGCACCTCTATGAGGAGATGCTGATTGGCCAGGGCTGTGCTTGACTTGTGCTGGCTCTGCCCCTGATCTACCTCCTTGACAGGCTCAGCCAATCCTATGGGGAAGCATTGTGATTGGCTCAAAACACAACTTCTGATGATGTCAGCAGGCATATCAGGGGCAGAGGCAGCAGCTGCAGAGTTGAAGAGTTGAATAAAAGTAGATTTTACTATATTTAGAGAGGCAAGGGGGGACAGGGGATGCTAGAAGATGTTTTTAACACTATAGGGACAGGAATACATGTTTGTGTTCCTGACCCTATAGTGTTTCTTTAAGTATGTTTCTGAACAAATTATTGCATGTTGAGTCCTTGGATTGCAGAGATAATGCACCTATTCTACTCAATATTTCTCTATATTGCTCTGGAAGTATGCAATGTGCTAGTTTAAGGACTAGACACGTCAACAATGGATTTCAGTTGGTGGGCCTGCTATCATGCTCATATTGTCCATTCATTGCTCTGCTCTATGTGAATAAATTTGATGTAGATATTTATGAACCTTGATTGCTGAGGATTATGGGATCCCATGAGCTACAGATAGAGGTTAAAATTCATAATGTAATCCTAAGTGATGTGGAGATTGTCCCCCTCCTCAGTAGGGTCTTAGTCCAAGCAGTGGATTTTGGAAGGTCCAGCTGGCAAATGTTGCCAGACTTGTGTTATTTCTACTGACATGGACATGGATATTCCTTCCCTACTTATTGTCACTTAATGGTAGACAGAGAACACCAAGATAATACTGCCTATTCTCTCTCCCCTATATCTGTGGTCTAATGGGGTACATAACTCCTGTATTCCACTACTTCACCATGTACAGATGATTGAGCACAGGGCTCAAAGGTTTCTGGGATGGTATTTGGGTGAAAACTGCACCTCCTTACCCCAGTGTCCTATTACCAGTCGCACACTGTAAGGGTTTTCACTAAAGTGAGAATTCAAAGTGAATTTCAAATTAAAGTTCAAAATAGCCAAACTGAATTATTTTTTTTCTAAATTAGCTAAGGTGTCACCTGCCATGTTGACCTTAAATTCACTTTGAATAGTCTTTGCATTCTCACTTTAGTAAATAAGCCTGAAAGTGAATTTCAAACAGCTTAATTGGAAAAATTATTATAGCCATCTCTGGTTCCAATTCAGCTATTTTGGTAAAAAAATGTAGAATTCACTTTGAATTCTCTTTTTATTCCTGACAATTCTCACCTTTAGTAAATAGTCCCGTTTATTTGGAAATGGCCATAACGGGTAACTATTAGATATACAGTTCCTAAAACAGCTTTAACCTTTGACTTCCTTTACCTAGAAGTGATCCGACTACTCAAATGTTAGTACCAAAATTTAATGTCAAAATTTTAAAGAAATATTTAAATGTGAATATCTACTCTGCATGTTAGTGTTCTGCCAGATTCTTCGCAGGGCTTAATGATAAACATGGAATTCACCAGTAGTAACATTCATAACATTACATATATAAATTTACATGTAATTTCTTGTAGATTTTTACAAAGAAAAATGGATTTATGTGCACAAAGAGAGTACAAAAGAAGTAAGTATATTCTATCTAGTTCACTAATTTTAAACATATACCTGATCAGGTTTAACGATTGTCTACCTCCCGCTATGGAAAACACATGAGCAGGACTAAGAAAGACATTACAGTAATGAAACAATGCACAGATACAAGAGTAACTAAAAAGGGGACTTTATTGACCCATCGTTCCTGCACATTAAAGGAACACATGTTATGAATACAAAGCTGTATTCCTAACACAAGTAGACAGCCACTGGTAGTATAGTAGACAGCCACTAGGGGCAGTCTTAGTACTGCACTGTAAACATTGCAGTTTCTCTGAAACTACACTGTTTTACATTGCAGGACTAAAGCGAACACTGCACCCAGACCACTTCAATGAGATAAAATGGTCTGGGTGTCTATAATTTCCATTTAAGCAGACCCACAGCCTTGCTAATTCCCCAGCTGGACGTATGAATCATTATTTCGTAGGTAGAAATTTAGCCATTTTGTTTATATTTGGTTTTCTGAGAGTCATAGTACTGGTTTCAAATTATTAAGCTACATACAAAGTTCTGCAGCAGAGACTACATGTTCTGCTAGATTGTCACATCTTTCTTAATGCTATATAGTTCTTTTGGTCTTAGGAAGTTTTTCTGTCCAGTTCATGCAACTAAACATATATTATAATACTAATTAATTAAAGCAAAATAAGAATGAGAATAACCGTCCGTTACAACATTTTTTTTATTAGAGACATGGATATTGTACTTTGGGTGAAGCTTTTAATCGTTTGGACTTTTCAAGTGCAATTCAGGACATCAGAAGATTTAATTATGTGGTCAGAGTAAGTAATTTTTTTTTGTTCTATTCTGGTTTCTAATTCAATTTTTGATTGTATACAAATAAAGGGGATAATAATGTTAGGAGAAAAGAACAGAACATAGCACAAAAAAAGATAACAGTTGTGCAGTGTGGCGTAGAAGAGATTTTATTAAATGGAGGCAGCGAGAATTATGGTTTATTGAGATAAGAATACTATGAATTCGTTAAAGCCTATGTTTTTTGTTTTTTTTAATTCATCATGTTACTGACTTAACTGGCACATATTCCATCCACTTTTACATCCACTTACATGTTGAGCAATAGCGCTACTTTAAAAAAAAAATGTAAGCGTCAATGATTTTGTAATAATTTGGGAGATCCAGGCATTGCTTTGTGTAGGTAAATTTCATGCAGCCATTGTATTAATTGACAAATAATGATAATTCCTATTTTCTAGTTGCTGCAGTTGATTGCCAAATCCGAGCTCACATCCCTGAGTGGAGCAGCACAGAAGAATTATTTTAATATTTTAGAAAAGATTGTAGCAAAAGGTAATGAAAATAAGCATAACTTTTCTTTTCTCTTTTTTTTGTAATATAATCTAAAAGCTAAAAACATGTTGTTAGGGATGTCGTTGCATTAACTGTTAAGAATGAAATGTGTATCTATCATGAATAGATAATTATCATCATGCTGCGCAAGAAGCACTCTAACAACTTATCTTTATCTTATTGCCTACAGTTCTGCCCTCTACATCCCAACCCTAACCTCCAAAACTCTTTATTTCACTATTTAGGAGGCTTGAAAGTGCATCTTCAAGCCACACCTCCAAGTCCACTGGATATGAGATCCAGGAATCTTACAGACATGTATTCCTAACGCTACAGTGTTTCTTTAATGAAATGGATTTGGTGTATATATCATGCTCCTGCAGTTTCACTGCTCAATTCACTTTGCATATGCCCGGTAGCCATAACACACCTAGCTGTGATTTACACAGCTTCCATTAAAAAAATGGTTTCATTTTTAATCAGATCTTAAGGTACAGTGTGTTTACGTTAGAAGTTATTATATCCTGCTCTGTTAATTGAACTTTAATCGCACATGTTGCAGGCTCTAGCAAGCTATTAACAGAGCAGGAAATACGTAATTTTAAATTAAACACACTGTGCAAAAAAAGAGTTAAAAGAAAATGACACTATTTTTCAGGAAGTCTGCAGTGAGGCAGAATCTCCGCTAGGGCAGGTGATATAACTCCTAAACGGCGGAGAATTGAGCAATTAGACTGCAAAGGCCAGATTTATACACCAAAACAAGTTAATTAAGTTGTTTTGGTGCTTAGAGTTTCCTTTAAACAAAACACTGGCTAGCCTTGCATAGCAAAATGTGAAGTAAAATGTGTGATTGTAATAACCCATTACTGCAGTGTATATTTTTTTCTTCATCTTACTGCAAGTATTTAAGTGCTTGTGCATTTTCTGCCTCACAAAAGTTCTGTGAAATGTGTAAATTAAATCTTGATGTTCAATTGATTTAAAGTCCACTTTGTAACAGGAATATAAAATCTGAATTGTTTAGTTCTAGAAGATCAACATAACCCCAGAATAATCTGAGAACTTTTAGAGGATCTGAGCTCTACTCTTTGCATCCTCATTGGCCGATTTGTATTGGTAGGGAATATGAACACATGGATTAATCGTTTAGAGAATATTTTGTTATGGCAACAACAATTGATGAATCTCCATATCAAACAGGTACTTTTGATTCATAATGTCTGTGGTTTAGAGCAATTATTCTTTTCTATACTAAACAATCACATCAGGACTGTAGCATTGTATATTTATGTACATGTTTACTGTAGCATGGAACAGCCATTTTAGTCCAATGATGAGCATAACCTCTAATAGATGAGATAGCTCAATGAATCGAGTCAGGTCACATTTAAAGAGATAGTCTAAGCACCATAAACATTACATGCTGTTTTAGTGGTTATGGTGCTGTATGTGGCTGCAGGTGTAATCCCTCAGTTCAGAGTCAAACCTTTTCAAGATGTTTGTCCAGAATTGGCAGGGGGGGGGGAGGGGGGGCTGTAACACTGCATTAGCAATATCAATTTCATGCTGATATTGGCATCATGATCTGCCAATCAGTGCTCACCAAAATAAATGCAATTAATAAATGATTACTAACACTGAAATTTCACTTACACAATAGCAATTAGTCAGCAGGGGGTTGGACCACTTGTGCCTCAGTGAGCCCCCAGTTTTTGTTAAACTACTCTAACATTTAGACTCACAACTGGGCTATGGCACCTGTAACCTTACTATTGGGATAACAACTACAGTTGCATACAGTGGTTATGCTGTATAGACTACCCCTTCAGTCTTTTACTTGCACTCATATATTCCTTGTCCAGGCTATATTTTCCTGTAACCTTCCACCTGCTTTCTTTGTCTTAAATACTGTATCTCCTTGCTCCCTTTCACTTCAAAGCTTCATGAATGGTTTATACAGTCAGGTCCATAAATATTGGGACATCAACACAATTCTAATCTTTTTGGCTCTATACACCACCAAAATGGATTTGAAATGAAACAAACAAGATGTGCTTTAACTGCAGACTTTCAGCTTTAATTTGAGGGTATTTACATCCAAATCAGGTGAACGGTGTAGGAATTACAACAGTTTGTATATGTGCCTCCCACTTTTCAAGGGCAATTGGCTGCTCAGCTGTTCCATGGCCAGGTGTATGTTATTCTCTCATTATCCCATTTACAAGGAGCAGATAAAAGGTCCAGAGTTCATTTCAAGTGTGTTATTTGCATTTGGAATCTGTTGCTGTCAACTCTCAATATGAGATCCAAAGAGCTGTCACTATCAGTGAAGCAAGCCATCATTAGGATGAAAAAACAAAACAAACCCATCAGAGCGATAGCAAAAACATTAGGTGTGGCCAAATCAACTGTTTGGAACATCCTTAAAAAGAAAGAACGCACCGTTGAGTTCAGCAACACCAAAAGACCTGGAAGACGACAGAAAAAACTGTGGATAACCGAAGAATTCTTTCCCTGGTGAAGAAAACACCCTTCACAACAGTTGGCCAGATCAAGAACACTCTCCAGGAGGTAGGTGTATGTGTGTCAAAGTCAACAATCAAGAGAAGATTTCACCAGAGTGAATACAGAGGGTTCAGCACAAGATGTAAACCATTGGTGAGCCTCAAAAACAGGAAGGCCAGATTAGAGTTTGCCAAACAACATCTAAAAAAACCTTCACAGTTCTGGAACAACATCCTATGGACAGATGAGACCAAGATCAACTTGTACCAGAGTGATGGGAAGAGAAGAGTATGGAGAAGGAAAGGAACTGCTCATTATCCAAAGCATACCACCTCATCAGTGAAGCATGGTGGTGGTAGTGTCATGGCGTGGGCATGTATGGCTGCCAATGAAACTGGTTCTCTTGTATTTATTGATGATGTGACTGCTGACAAAAGCAGCAGGGTGAATTCTGAAGTGTTTCAGGCAATATTATCTGCTCATATTCAGCTAAATGCTTCAGAACTCATTGGACGGCGCTTCACAGTGCAGATGGACAATGACCCGAAGCATACTGCAAAAGCAACCAAAGAGTTTTTTAAGGGAAAGAAGTGGAATGTTATGCAATGGCCAAGTCAATCACCTGACCTGAATCCGATTGAGCATGCATTTCACTTGATGAAGACAAAACTGAAGGGAAAATGCAGGAACTGAAGACACTTGCAGTAGAGGCCTGGCAGAGCATCACCAGGGATGAAACCCAGCGTCTGGTGATGTCTATGCGTTCCAGACTTCAGGCTGTAATTGACTGCAAAGGATTTGCAACCATGTATTAAAAAGTGAAAGTTTGATTTATGACTGTTAATCTGTCCCATTACTTTTGGTCCCTTAAAAAGTAGGAGGCACATATACAAACTGTTTGTAATTCCTACACCGTTCACCTGATTTGGATGTAAATACTCTCAAATTAAAGCTGAAAGTCTGCAGTTAAAGCACATCTTGTTTGTTTTATTTCAAACCCATTGTGTTGGTGTATAGAGCCAAAAAGATTAGAATTGTGTCGATGTCCCAATATTTATGGACCTGACTGTATGTGGCCAGTAAACTATTATAAATTAAACTACTTTTTCATCTGTGGTCTCCTTTGCTGTCTCTCCTCACTCACCCCTATCTTTGCTATCTCATCTTCACAACCCATGTACAAACCCATTCTTTCCTTATACATCATTCTACCTTACTTCCAATTCATAGTCCACTAGTGACTCCCACTTCCCCCCGATGTTCTTTACTTCCCCTTACTGTTCTTTTTTGTTGTACTTATTTTTGCACTGTATTTCCCGTGATAATCATCCATCGTATAGGTATTTGATAACTGAATATCCTCTATGCTGAACAAGTCTGTTTTCTGGCTGGTCATCACGGTTAATTTATTTCTCAAACATCTAAATGCCAAGGTTATTCTTCTGTGATATTCAAATATTAAATGAATAGGGACACTCTCGTACACACGTTGCATTTTTAATGTAAATTACTAATATTGTTGTGTGTCTTTGACTTTTCTTAATTCTTTTTGGTCTTTCCAGGAATTTGGTACTGGCCTTACCCTTTCTGATCTCCCATTGCATATGCAAAACAATATATTGTGTAGGTTTTCTGATGCCTGGGACATAATCAACTTGGGTCAACTGACCCCAACGTTGCGTGTGCTTACTGAAGACCCCCATCTTTGGAAGAAGCTTTGCAAGTATCATTTTAAAGAAAAAATGGTAGGTAGAATTAACCCTTGGTGAGTGTGCAATCGACCCTCCAGGATAGCAGTGACGAGTAACTTTTAAAGGCACACTATAGTGTCAGGAATACAAGCATGTATTCTTAACACTATAGTCCTGAAGTGACTGTTTAAGTGACCGTCCCTCCCCCCTTCCTGATTGTAGTAAAAACATTATTTTATTCCCCTTTTCTCCCATGCTGCGGCTTAGCCCACATGACTCCACCTCCATGGAACATGGATTCCATCACTGCAGGAACAGGCTAAAGACACCAGAACCACTACATTAAGCTGTATTGATTTTGGTGAATATAGTTTCTCTTTAAGGCCTGGCTTGTAGCTCTGGTGTTATGTTTTCTTTCCTAAAGGGAATATTGAATACACAATTTAAACATAATTTATAATGTGTTGAACATGTTACATGACATGCTCCATATTCTATCAAAGCTTTGATAAAGGTATAACAATTTCCATTGCAACGCTGTTTACTCCTGGCATAGCCTTGGCACAAACTGAATTGGAGGAGGAAAAAAAACAAAAACATTACTTCTGTTTCTCCACCTCTATCTATGCTTATGCATATTTGTTAAATGTAATGGATAAATAAACTTTATATTAATAATCCCCTTTAATCAATTCTGCATTCATTTCCTTGTAATATAAGTAAAACGATCTACTTTCTTCTTTCTATTTCTTTAGTTGTGCCATCTAATTGTCTCAGAATCAGGCCACATTGATTGGAAGCTCATGTTTTTTGCACTTCAGAAATATTATCCAAAAAAGGAACAATATGCAGATACACTACAATTTTGTCGTCACTGTAGCATTCTGTTTTGGAAGGTAATTATGTATTTTTAAATATTCCTGAAATTATATATTCCTGAAATGATATAACTTTACACATATTCATTTGATATTTGAACATCAAAATAAGTTATTGCTGTTATATAATTTGTTTTCTTCGTATTAGCAATTGTACTTTCTAAACATTGTCAGGCAGAAAACCACAAAACACTTGTCATAATTTTCCATCCTCTATGCACTGTGATTCACTATTTTCAATATATATAAGTTCCAATTGCTTGCACTCCAGGATAGGGAGTTAGAGCCCGGTGCTTAACAGCCAAATAATAGAAATGTAGTAATGATAGCACTCCAAGGACTTCAAAGAAATATATTGTGAAAAAAACTTAGCTTTTATTCAGGCATCTGCCAGTAGTAGATCAACGTTTCAGTTCTCTAATGGAACTTTTGTCAGGATATATATATATTGATTTTCTCACCCCTCCTGGGTGGTATGTTATATTCCCCATTCTCGGGTCCTCTACCAGAGGCCTGGGTGTTTGAGTGTTCTGCGCAGTATCTTAGCTGTTCCTAGAACTGCACTCTTCTGGATGGCGATCTCAGATGTCCCACCTGGAATCTGCTGAAGCCACTCCCCCAACTTGGGAATTACAGGCCTGAGTGCTCCTATCACAACTGGGATTACTACTGCCTTCACTTTCCATATCTTTTCTAGCTCTTCTTACCTATATAGGAACTATGGATGAATAAGTGTGTGTGTGTGTGTGTATATGTATATGTGTATATATATATATATATATAATTTTACTATTGAATAAGAATAAATACCAAATTCCTCTGTTCAAAACAGACTAAAAGGAAGACAATTGCGCTGCCAGGTTAGCAATATGCCCTGTTATCTGTATACTAAAGAGTACATAGTACAATAATTTAAATCAGTCATTTCATAAACAAGCACACAATCGTAAATAACACATATTATAGTTTGCCTGCAGAAAATATTAATCTGAGCCTAAAAGCTAGCTGAGCATCATGGGAAATGTAGTCCAGAAACAATTTATGGTGTCAAGGTTAGCCATCACTGGTATAGAACATACTTCCAAAAGCATATGTAAGATTGTGTGTATTGCTGTCTCAGCCACTTTTTCATCTTACGCATATGTCAGCTGGTACATCACTTGTTCCCAATCAGGCACAGTCAGCTCCATGGACAGTGTCCTGTGTGCTCCGAAATTACATCTCAAAGCGCCTACGCAGTTCACGAGCACACGCTCACTTAGTCAAAGTTAAAAATGTCCTGTTGACACCTCTGCCTTTACCTTAAACGACAGATGTGTTTACTAAATGCAAAGGTCTTGTGAGACCTTCAGTAAAAGTGAAAAGAACCAAAAAGTTAGTCTAGAAATCCACATCAGAAACCGTAACATTTCTCTCATTTGTTCTTTTATATTTCCACTTCTTTCCCCTTTTTAAAAGGATTTCCAGCTTGCTCTCTTATTTAAGGTATTTGCTGCATGCTTGCATCCAGATTTTTCCATATGTTTTCGTGTTTTTTTATAAGAGGATTTTTAAAAAAAATTTTTCTTTCCTCTTGAAATATTTTTTACTCCGTCTGTGTGTGTGTGGTTTTGTACATACATATGCTTTTTTTTTTATATTTTTCCATTAATAAACATTAAACTGCATGTTTTCGTAAAATGTATTGTAATGTAATGTATTGTTTTCCTGGAAAGTGTGCATAACTGTAAAAAAGAGAAAAACAGAGAGAACTCTGGTTAAAGAACCAATTGCAGTAACTTTTCATACCAAGTTATTTTCTCGGCTAAGCCAGTTTGTTTTCATCTTTGTAAGGTCTACCTAATACCGTTATGAAAATTCTACTAATCCGCTCTTGTTAAAGGGAGAATTGTTGGGAACTCAAAGTGTATTTTAAATTGTATACCAAAAGAGCAGAAGTGAAAGCTTAGCTGCCTTGAAGAATGCTGCCAATTGATCTCTTTGTACTTTAAATTTGAAATTCACACAAAGATTTTCACTTTAGTAAATCATGTGGTACATGGTTCTTGGGCTTGCTGCTTTTCTTCACTCTCAATCACCACTATGGCAGAACTTGGCCAGCCACTCATTGGCTTCCAGACTTTCCAGCACTGCAAGAGTTTGTAAATACACTACTGGAAGTTTAAATCTGTTTGCATACAGAGTAGGTAGACTGGGATGCATTCCATTGCATCATTACATCATAAAGAATAAAGACACTCCAGACATACACATATTGTGCAATCTGTAGGTCATGTTATTTGCATTGCTGGCTTTTCTTTCTTTCTTTTTTTTTTTTTTTTTTCTCAGTCTTTTTTTTTTTAATTTTTCCTTTTTAGATGCTACTTACTACAAATTGCTTTTGCTCAATTGACTTACTTTTTTGCCCCTTCTCTCCCAGCCTGTAGTGTACCACAGCTGATGTACACAGTGCCATTTAGGTCTTGCTGTGTGGTAGTTCATATGTTCATTGTTCTAGAAGAGAAAGTTTGAAATTGAACTACAACTCACAGAAACCATTTCTGTGCCCGTTTACCTTCATTACTTATGGTAGATACTTAGTAGCGCTATCAAAAATATGTTAAATCTCTATCATTTCCTGGTTTAGTGAGAGCTCACTGCAAATTCTACGCAGTCTGAAATTCTGAGAAAATACAGGAAATTATTTTTTTTTTTTCTTTATAATATTTTATATTTGTAATGCATTAAAAAATTGTGTCAAATCCAGTGAGGAGTGTCTCTTAAAATCTCTACTAGAAAGTCTTACCCTTTTTTTTTTACAAATTTCTCTCCAATCTTAATGTCTGCTTACATAATTCCCCATCTGCCCATCTTAGTCTTCTTAAAGGGACACTATAGTCACCTGAACAACTTTAGCTTAATGAAGCAGTTTTGGTGTATAGGACATGCCCCAGCAGCCTCACTGCTCAGTCCTCTGCCATTTAGGAGTTAAATCCCTTTGTTTATGAACCCTAGTCACACCTCCATACATGTGACTTGCACAGCCTTCCATAAACACTTCCTGTAAAGAGAGCCCTGTTTAGGCTTTCTTTATTGCAAGTTCTGTTTAATTAAGATTTTCTTATCCCCTGCTATGTTAAAGGACCACTCTAGGCACCCAGACCACTTCAGCTTAATGAAGTGGTCTGGGTGCCAGGTCCTTCTAGGGTTAACCCATTTTTTCATAATTATAGCAGTTTCAGAGAAACTGCTATAATTATGAATGGGTTAAGCCTTCCCCCAATCCTCTAGTGGCTGTCTCATTGACAGCCACTGGAGGCGCTTGCGTGCTTCTCACTGTGAAAATCACAGTGAGAGCACGCCAGCGTCCATAGGAAAGCATTGTAAATGCTTTCCTATGAGACCGGCTGAATGCGCGCGCAGCTCTTGCCGGGCGTGCGCATTCAGCCGGCGGGGCGGAGGCGGAGAGGAGGAGGAGAGCTCTCCGCCCAGCGCTGGAAAAAGGTAAGTTATTACCCCTTTCCCCCTTCCAGAGCCGGGCGGGAGGGGGTCCCTGAGGGTGGGGGCACCCTCAGGGCACTATAGTGCCAGGAAAACGAGTATGTTTTCCTGGCACTATAGTGGTCCTTTAATAACTTGCTAGACCCTGTAAGAGCCTCCTGTATGTAATTAAAGTTCAATTTAGAGATTTAGATACAATTATTTAGGGTAAATTACATCTGTTTGAAAGTGAAACCAGTTTTTTTTTTTTTTTCATGCAGGCTCTGTCAATCATAGCCAGGGGAGGTGTGGCTTGGGCTGCATAAATAGAAACAAAGTGATTTAACTTCTAAATGACAGTGAATTGAGCAGTGAAATTGCAGGGGAATGATCTATACACTAAAACTGCTTTATTTAGCTAAAGTAATTTAGGTGACTATAGTGTTCCTTTAATTCTCAATTAGCTTATTACATTTATTTTTTTAAGAAATATAGCTTCAGCTATACATTGCAGTAGCTATAGCGTAAAAAATTAAATGTTGTTACCTTTTAAGCTATACATCTTTACTCCTACGTCACCAGCTGTAAAAACTACAATATGGAGACAATGGGCAGCTGCACATGGCATACCTGATCTCCTAGCATGCACATGGGTGGCAGTAGTTATCTGATGGGTGTTAGTAAGTTTTGTGGGGGACAGGGTGGCTGTGCAAGCTATATTGCCCTGTCCTTTCCCAATGAAACTGTTTTAGTAGCAGATCACTTTGAGGCCTGACTAGTATTGCATGTTAAATGTTGAGCCCTGGTTAATCCTATGAGTGTACTGCTGCAGTGTTTACAATCCGAAATGTATTTATGTTTTGTTTTTTCTGCTTTGTTAGGATTCTGGACACCCCTGCACTGCCAATGACCCAGGGAGCTGCTTTGTACCCATTTCCCCTCAGCACTTTATTGATCTCTTCAGATTTTAAAAAGCTCTAAACGCCTACCATGGCTCATGTAATGTAAAGGTATTGCCCAATCAATTGTGTTATTGGACGTAAAATGTATTTGTGATTTTAATTATGTAGTGCTTTGATTGCATAAAAGAATGTTATCATCGTTGATAGTGTAGTGTGACCCCATAAATACTATAGGGGTTAGTAACATGGCTGCGCATTACGAGACTCTTAGTACAATGCAGATTTTGGTATAGCCTTTGTCTGCTAATGGATTCAGATTATGGTACTTAATTTCAATTTATGGAACCTGTGTTCTGATCAGTGAACAAGACCAAACTATTTTTTACTGTTTGACCATTGAAGTAAGTTTACTGCAGCATACTTTGTACTTCTTACAATTATCTAATCTGTGATGACACTAAATATTTTATATATGCATATACTTGCATGTATTTATGTTAAATATTCATTCACGTTTTTCACTTTTAGCAAAACAAATATTATTCACATAGGGTTTTTTTTTTTGTTTCTTTTTTACTTAATGGAAATTAGTGGAGCAATAACTAGGGAAATTTAAAGGTGGTTGAAGGGCTTAGTACAAACATCCCAGTACAAGACATAACATTATGATCTGCATTAGCAGTACTTTCCTCTGAGCTGGTTTATAGTCGGTACCTTAGAACAACTCCCCAACCTCTGACCTTTCTCCCTTTGCCCCACTATAACTGTCCCCCTTCTTTTCAGTCCCTTTGACACCCCTTTCCTCACCCCAGACCCTGAGTTGGCTATGCAGGCCCTTCCTTACCTATGATATTTTATGGTAGAGTTTTCTTCCGTCTGGGATAATGTATTTTTTCAACATTAAAACTTTCGTTTTTTTCACATTATATAATTGTCACTGGGACACTTGTTTCAGTTAATGCTGAAAACAGAAAAGAAAAACCACACTACTTTTTTAATCCAAGGTGCCCCAACCTGAACTTGAGGTTGGCAAATCCTCAGACATACAATGACCAAAGGATGGTCCAGGCACTCAGGGTAAAGTGACAGGCAGATTTATTGAAGAGGCACAGCAACGTTTCAACATCAACTGAGTTTTTAATCAAGCTGCCACCATAATGGATAGATACAAATAACTAAATTGATATCAATAAAAAATTTTGTTATATTTATTGTCATCAATTTAGTTAATTGTTTGCTCTATATACATTGTATTATGCATTACGGTGGTATCTTGATAAAGTCCTCAGTTGGGTTTGAAAGGTTGCTGTGTCTCTTTAAAAAATATGCTTCTTTCAGGAAAGACCATCAGGGTTATTTACTAAAGTGACAATTCAAAGCGAATTTCAAATTTAAGACCAGAGAAGGCGAACTGAAAGGATAGCTGACTTAGAGAATTTTTCTGGTTTGGCTATTTTGACCTTAAATTTGAAACTCACTTGGTATTCATCTTGAATTCTCACTTTAGTGAATAATTCTGCCAATTAAAAGAGAATGGACTCACAGCAATTTATTCATTCTATTTTCTTTTAGGAAATTATAGCTCTTTTAATTTCGTTTTTAAATCTCCACAATTCCTGGTTTTGGGAACAAACCATATATATTTATTCACATTATTCAAACACCACATTAATAATAATAATATACTTAAGCACTTTAGTTTAAATACTAAAAGGTTAGTTCATATGCCACAGAGTGGATTATGTATATATTGTTTTCAGCACAGTACTTAAGCAAGCCACATTACACATCACGATTTTCAGTAAACAAAATAATTTTTCAGTTCCATAGACTGTACTTCGGCCATTAAGGCAGAATCTGATTGTTTCATTTCTGCAGACAATGACAAAGATAATTCTCCAATGGTTTCTGCACTATTAATATCAATATTTTAGATATCAATTTCTCATACCTCTCTGAATGCTTACCAACAATAGGAGGCATAGATCCCACAATCCAGATGGGCAGGCTACCATGGGGCAACAGTAAGGGTCAGGACTGCCCTGTAATAGAGTGAACTCACACGAAAAAGGGGTGTGCAATGCTAAAACTATTTACTATTTTGTAACATGTTTTTTTTTAATCCATACATTTGTCAATCAGAAATGCTACAGGGAACACATAACTTTATCACTATCTGTTTTATTGTCGGTACATTTGCTGTCACTAAAGAATATCAGGAAACTAATGAAGGAAAACAATATTGAAAAATATTGTGCTGTTTGTCTATTAGCATTTTGCGCTATGATTTGTTTATTTTATTTTTGGGAGATACCGTTTTTTTGTCTAATGGTATTGTAAACATTTTACATTTTGGCTGATGCTGCTCTGATTGTTCGATTTTAATGGTACTTTTCATTTGCACGTGATCTTATGAATAGTTGCACCTCGTTGTAGAAATCACATTTAAAGTGTTCGTATCTGCTATTCGTATCCTTTCGTTTACAAAGGTTTAAGATTTTCAAAACATTATTTTTGCTCTAGCTGTAACAACTCAATTGATTGCTGCTCTCACTCTTTTGAGCCACAAAGGAGCCCATACTTTGCATATTATACACAGCATTATTCTGTGCTGCTTCATTCCCTCAATATGCAAGCAAGAACTAAGATTCTAAGTGTGCACGTGATTTTTTTCTTCAGATTTGTTTTGAACAAATCTGGGGATTTTGTTTGTTTTTTGGGTCAAGTCTTTTTTCAGTGTGTCATACAAAACCATTACATATATACATTTTGTATTGAAAAAAATGGTTTCTGCACTATTAATATCAATATTTTAGATATCAATTTCTCATACCTCTCTGAATGCTTACCAACAATAGGAGGCATAGATCCCACAATCCAGATGGGCAGGCTACCATGGGGCAACAGTAAGGGTCAGGACTGCCCTGTAATAGAGTGAACTCACACGAAAAAGGGGTGTGCAATGCTAAAACTATTTACTATTTTGTAACATGTTTTTTTTTAATCCATACATTTGTCAATCAGAAATGCTACAGGGAACACATAACTTTATCACTATCTGTTTTATTGTCGGTACATTTGCTGTCACTAAAGAATATCAGGAAACTAATGAAGGAAAACAATATTGAAAAATATTGTGCTGTTTGTCTATTAGCATTTTGCGCTATGATTTGTTTATTTTATTTTTGGGAGATACCGTTTTTTTGTCTAATGGTATTGTAAACATTTTACATTTTGGCTGATTACATATATACATTTTGTATTGAAAAAAATATATGAACTTCTCATGAATCATAACACCACTGTATTGTCTTCAACTTCAAAGCGAAAAAGAGACAATTTGACAGGAAGGGGGAAGCATATAGATTTTGGCCATATTTGCCCACTGTTGCTTGCGGCATTCATTTACTTTATTAGAGAACATTATTTTATGGAAGCTGCAAAGGTTAATGAATTAAACCACCCAAAGAGGCACACTTTGTATATGTGTGATATTGTGTATAATTCCCAGATTTTACTATTAACATGACGTAAAGTCATGATTTTATTAAAGACACGGAGGCGAGTATTATGCATATCTCTTTCTTTATTACTCTCAGCAGCAAAGAAATAGAGATAAATAAATAACTGAAAGAACAAAAAAAATAGTGTTCAAGTAACCAATCACATAACAGAGGAAGTGACTATAAAATACTTGAAGCACCCACAATCCCCCTCTTTCTTGCGGATAACGAAGACCAAATACAGAACATCCAACTTCGGCTAACGTAGCCAACCGCAGCTCCAATATGGCAAATCACGAAGAATTCAGGCTAAAGGAGACACAGAAAAAGAAGAAGGTAATAACTGGACTCCAACTGTATGCGCATAACTATAATAAATAACACAGTACGTCAAACTCTACACACCCAAATACGGTGAGACAGCTATAAGGAACATAAATGTAACCCCAATATATAGAAAACGTCAGATACAACACATACAATCAAAACGTCTAATAGCGAATATATCATACTTACCCACCATACCAGCCAATGCCCAACCCCAACCGGGTGGGTGGGTGGGAATAATACTCGCCTCCGTGTCTTTAATAAAATCATGACTTTACGTCATGTTAATAGTAAAATCTGGGAATTTTATTAAAGACACGGAGGCTCCTATTATGCAAGTTTAAAGCTTAGAAACCACTTGAGATGCAAAATGGTCAATCGGCCTGAAGTAGAAATCACGAAAGGTCGATTCCCGTGACCAATCCGCCGCACGTAGAATATCTTCTAGGCGGCAGCCCATAGCCGCCGCCTTGGAGGCCATAGCTCCGCGGACTGAATGAGGGGTGAATCTGGATGTATCGATCCCGGCCAGAGATAACAATTCCCGAACCCATCTCGCCAACGTAGGTGTAGACACCGGAAGGTGTGGGGTTCGAAGCGAGATGAACAAGGGGCATAGCTCCGGGGATCGCAACGGTCGAGTAACCTCGAGGTAGGCCTGAAGGCATTCGACTGGACAGATAGCCGGGTTTCCCTGGAATCTAGGGTAAACAAACACCTTCGAAGCCGACTTCGTTCTTCTGGATATGTTAAAGGAGATGCCCTCCGGAGTGAACGCAATGGCATTCCAGTCCAGTGCCCGAACATCCGACACCCTCTTGCAAGAGATAAGGCATAGCAACATGACCACCTTCACTGACAGCTGTTTCAGTGTGAGATCCTGATTTGGATACCAAGCCGACAAGAATTGAAGGACCACATTCACGTCCCAGAAGGCAGTGAATCTCGCACGGGGCGGTCTGGTGAGACGGATCCCCTTGAGCAGTTGGCATACAAAGGGGTGACGTCCTACGGGCGAACCATCCAAGCCTTGGTGTCCGGCTGATATAGCGGATCGGCATAGATTAATAGTGCGGTACGCCTTCCCAGATTCAAACATCTCAGTAAGGAATGCCATGATCACATGTAAAGGGGCAGATATGGGATCCACTGACCGTTCCACGCACCAACTAGACCATATTCTCCAGGCGGATCGGTACGCCACTCGAGTACCTGGTGCCCATGCGTTGTCAAGGAGGTCGAGAGTTGA